AGTGTAGGAACCTCCTGGAATGTCTAATTAAAAAAATAACAAAGCTTTGAAAAGGCTTGAAATTACAAACCCATCTGGGCTGCAATCTTCAGGATTTTAGTAACAATATCCACATTCTCATGAATAATTGGGCTATGAAGTCTTCAGCTACTGCTTCTAATGGAAATCCATATTTATCATTTTGGAATCAAAAATTTTTGTTCCTTATATTTATCTGATAAGTTTAATCTTCTATTAAATTATCCTAAACCGTCTGGGCTCCCTTCTTAGTTACTACTTCTTCCCCGCTGTATCTAATTGAAAAGTAAAGCATCTTTTCCTCTATTGCTGCTCCATTCTCTTTTTTAGCTGTTCTGTTTTATATTTTAAAGCTTACCCAAAGATATTGAGTTCTATGAGATCTAAATCAACTCCCCAAGTTTTCCATAGTTTTTGGTTGCTGCCTGGTTATTGCTTAGATCCAGATTCAAACCGAAAAAAGATACTGTTCATAGATACTGTTCATAGATACTGTTCTTTCTTGGAGCTTTTCCCCTGCTTTTTTCTTTCGTAGTTGTAAATGAGAGGGAACTACGTCTCTTAATTTTTTTTGCCAATGTGTTTTTTTTTTTTTTCCTAGTCTACTAGGTATTTAACAACCTCTTTTACATATTTCTGGAAATCTGACTAGCTCTGAAAACAAACCAGGTGATGATTTGAATGCACATTATGAATGCGGTCAAAGGATATAGCTCCTGGGATAGAAGGTGCGGGCTCTCTGGGGAAGGGGAGCCTGAGACTGGAGCCATACTGGAAAGGTCTTCCCAGGCTGAAGCAGGCAGAGGCCTTTTGGAGGCAAAGCTGTTCCACAGTAACATCACAACTTGTTCTGGCTCTGTCTCTGCCTGGCCTTAAGGAACTATTTTGGGAGAAAAAAATAGCCGAAAACACACAACAAATTTATCCCAAAATAATAAACATTCTGATGGAGGGGGAAACAAAACATTCTTTGGTTCCTTCTCCTCTCCTCTGAAGGAAAAGTTCTTCATATATAATTCTTCACCGTTTCATTTTATCCCAACAAATGGGCAGAGCTGTGATGGTGATTTCCTGCATTCATGGAGAGGCTGAGGTTTCCACAGAGGAGTCCTGCCACTTCCCTTCTCCCTTTGAAGTGAAGCTGAAGAGCATTACAGTGTGCCTGTACAGCCAAGAGTCTGACTGTGTATTTTGGCATTTGGATGCCAGACTGGTTGGTAATTTCCCCTTAAATCCTTTCATAGCTCAAATTCCTGTCGAAACAACCTATATCTCCGTAGCCCTGGTTTACCATACAGGGTCTGCCATTTGCTTTATCCCTCAGAAGCAATGCCATTTCATGTGCTTTTATTTGGCTGCGTGCAGCATGTATTTAAAATGAAATATTGGCCCAAACCCCTCTGGGTGGCTGTCAGATCTTCGCATGCCACATAAATATCAGTGAGAAAACATTCCTCCCAGCCCACACAGAACGCATCTAACACTGTTTTTTCTGGACAAACCAGCCCTAGCACAGCAAGGCCTTCGGCAAAGGACCACTTCCAGTGGGCAGGGCCCTGTTTTAAATCGACCACTTTAAAGTGCTCTGAACGTTTCCAGTATAATTTTCGTTACCCTTTAGTTACAGACCACCTTTACTAGGTAACTGAGCTTGTTTGCCAACCCATTGGGTAGCTGCCATCTAAGCAATTGCCTGGGTGGCCTGCTGCCAGCTCTCAACTATTTCAAGATGTGAGTTACCTGATGCTCTCAGGCACGACAGGACCGTAGTGGTGCGCATTGTGCCGGTGCCTGCCTGCTTACCAGGCAGATGTTTCTCCATGGTGCCTTCACAGTTTTTCGGCTGCACAGGGTTGGTTTCCAATGGGCCTCTCTGCTGCAGTGCCAGTCAAGTGCAATTTGCACATTTTCTTTTCAAGTGTATGCGTGCTAACACACGTGGATGGTCCTTATGTGATTACTGGCATGGCTAGAGCAGAATTTACACCTGCAAACCACACCAGGGTGTATGGACTTTAATCGTTACGACAGGTAAGCTAAATTGTCCACGGGCATGAGAACACCAGGCTCCCATCATCAGAGGGCCTCGGCACAGCACCTGCCACCAACAGCAGCCTGAAGCGTGAGAGGAGCAAGGGCCTCAGTGCCCCCAGAGCAAACAGTGTGAAATCCATTTTGGCTGCACTCTCTCAAAATAACACAGCGAATATGGAAGGGTGGAAAAAGGATGGAAGCAGAGCCGGCACTGTAAAAAAGATTGATTTCTGATGCACACCTCTGCGAAGCGCCCAGATGAGCCAGAGGCAGGCATGTCCTTGCCCTCTTGCAGGATCTCAAAGTTCAGCTAGTTTCACCCTGTGAGATGGTGAGAGTCAAAGCCAGCAGGGCTCTCATACACACTGTGGGGTTCACCCCCCTGCCCTCCACTTCTGGCAGCTGCGAGGGCAGGGGATCTGTTCCTTTGGAGCCCAGTTGGGGCAGGGGATCTGTTCCTTTGGAGCCCAGCTGGCAGCTGGCATGACTTCCTGGGAAGTGCTGCTACTACGGGAGACTGCTTAGCAGAACGCACTCTTCTGTCGTCAGGGATGTGCAGGAGGGCTTGGCTTGATTCTACAGGTTTAGGACCTTGAGGTTTACTGAGACAGTGGAATAGATGGAAGAAATGAAACAAAAGCACACCACTGAACCAAATTACAGGTAGGCATAAATCCATGCTTACGAGCTTCCTGTGCCAAAACGCATTAAAGCTAATAAAGGTTACACAGGGAAACGCTTCTAACCCCTTACACCTTCCAAGACACCCCTCTCTCTCCCATACCTGCATGCACATGTGTTCTCCAGAATTTCATCCAGCTTTCTGGTCTTAGTGTATTTGTTAGGGAACACTTGGAGCAGTCAGACTATGGTGGCAATGGCCAAAGTGGCTGTTTTAATGAGCTCATCCTTAGGTTGCACACGATTGCTACAACAAAGCTTTCCTGAGCAGCTGCTTACGAAACAATGTCTGTGTGCTTTTACTTAGTTGCATGTTTTTCCCCAGAACGATCAAGGGAAAGCAAAGAGATTGCTGCCCTGGCCTTCTAAGAATGGAAAATAATAATTTTTCTTTGGCTTTCTTTAGATTATTTTTCCCACACATTTACTCTTCAACCCTGTCCTTGGGTCAGCTTAGAATGTTGAGTGATCTAAGTATGATGAATTTATTACTTTAAACTTCGCAGAGCACAGCATAAGGAGAGTGAGGGGAACAGTGTAAGCAATGTGGAAAGACTTTTACATTTTCTAGTTTGATTACTGGATGTATTTTGAGGTTTCCAAAACTATTTTTTTTTCTTAAAAAAAAATGGATCAGTTTGGCTAGAAGACTGAAATTGGATCAAATCCATCTTGCATCCCCACCTAAAAATGAGCTTTGGGTCTGCAGGTTCAGAGGCTTGGGAATAGAGGTCTCCCTCCTCACATGTAATTATGGATAGTTTCTGAAGAGGTGAAATGTCACATTATGAAGAGATGGAAAATACATTAAGAGAGAATGAGTTCATCTTCCTGATACAAAACAGTCCCTGCAGAGTAATGGGATTATGGCAGCCTTGGACATTTGAGAAAGTCTACACTGCTGTGTGTCTGCTCTATTTGATTTGTATATGAATGGATTTCCGTTCCCAATAATCGCTTTCTCTGAGCTACTGCAAACTCTAAAATGGGAAATAAAAATAGAATTTTTGGGAGATAGGACCTGCTATAATCACTTGGTGACATTGCAGCTTGCCCTGCAGAGAGAGACGTGGAGGAGGTGCTGATTTATCCCAGAGGTGGTAACACTTGCAGAGTTCTCTAGGAGACAAAATGAAAGTAGAGGACAGAGTTGTGGCTTAGTTTGCATGTCTGGTATTTCTACCTGCAATGGGCAGGAGACAAGGAGTTGGAGGTTTTGCACTGCTCCAGGAACCTGGCAAAGACGTAGGCAGGGGTGAAAAACTTTTAGTCAACTTTTACTGAAGACTGTAGCAGATGACCCATCTCCCTAAAACATTTAGGCAGGGTAAATGCCCAAACTGCCTTTTAGCACAGGTTTTTCACTGCACCCTTCACTGGTGTTGACTACTGTGGGCTTTCTGATGGGCCTTATAACCATCTATTTCAAGTATATATGTAAGATTTTCTAAAATATCTTTATATATGTGTATTTCTCTCTATATATACAGTAGTAATATTAAAAGTATGACATATTGTGCACATACTGTACTAAGCACTAGTAGGACAGCTCTCTTCAAGCAGATTTATTAGCCATTTTTTTCTGAAGACCTTGGGCTTCTCTATAGGTACTGACAGCTCTATAAAGCTTCACTGCCTTTGAGCAGTCTAGGAAGAAAAGCTATTCCTAGGCATCCATAAAACTGTTTCTGTAAATAAGAACCAATTTGACTCACAGTTTGTAAAACAAAATAAATCAAAACCTCCAAATTAATAAAAAGCAAAATCCAAAATTCATAAAAAATACCAGCAATCAATAGATTAGACGCACACATGGAGTAAGATTTAGATAGGATGAGTTTGCTTTTACTTTGGGGAAGAACACCTCTTTGGAAAGCATCATTTTTGGAAACAAGAAAAATTCCAAATTAATGCTGTGGAATGTGAAAGGATAAGCAAGAAATCAGCATGAAAAATGAATTATAAGGTATAATAATATGGTCCTATTAGAAGGGTAAATCTCTGTAATAGGGATCTTTATCTGAGGCTCTGGAAGGGCACTGAATACCACCTTCTGCACTCTCCTGTTATGTGTCCTGACTCCCCAAACACTTTGCTGCAACTCCACCCAACCACAACTAAAGTGCAGTGTTTACATACAGAAAGGGTATTTATGCCTTAATGTAGAAATCAGCTCAAGCTCTGTATGCTCTTCTGCCTGTAGTGGGACACAAACAGCAAACAGTTGCCCAGAATGTACCATATAAACAAATATTTTGGACCTATGATACAGTTTGTATTTATTACTTTTACTGAAATCACAGAATCAAATGTTTCAAGATTACAACTGGTAAATTATACATATGTAATAGTTCACAAAACAAAATATTGGCCTTCAATGTGTCATAGTACAGTGTAGACCTTGTACAATTCAGTTCAAATGAATCTTTATTTTGCATAACATTTTTAGGATGTAAACTGGCTGACATAGTAGTGCTCTAAAAATGTTAACTCTTCGGTTGGACACATACTAGGATGGAAAAAAAAGTTTTGTGACACATCTTGTTTTTGCAAGGGGTACTGGTATTTCAGCCAAGTTATCAGTAATGCACAAAGTGACACCTCCCAGAATGTGCTGACACCAACAGTGTATGAAGAGGCACGTGAAGTAAACTAAGCAAAACCAAACACTGTGCTTTCCCCTTAGTCTTTCCTACAATACCTCATTCATTTTATCTTATCTGGTGCTGGGCAGATGACCTGGCTATAGAAGTTAGAAGGGTTTATTGCTGTACAGGCGTATACGCTGTCTCCAACTTCAATTCAGCGTATTATTTCCTGTATCTGATGGGATTTTAACAATACATTTATGCTTGACTGTCACTATGTTTCATATGATAAACTATTTGAAGATTTCACAGTTCATATGATAAATTGTGTAAACCAGTTACTCTAAGTTAAAATTATGCTGTCACTTACAGTGGTATAAGTCTGAAGCACCTCCTGCAAAGCCAAATGATGTAATGAAGTTACCCTAAATTTACACAGATATAACTAAACCCAGTGTAACTTTTTTCCCCTGTGAGTGGGAGTAATGGAGATGCAAAAACTTGCCTCTGTATGTATGTACATGTACATGTTTATATATACACAAGCATACACATGCACACACAAACAATATGCACTTCCATTTAGCCACGGGGAAGCTCTACATGTGCCCATGTGTGTGTTTCAACAGGGACTAAGCCAGGCTGATGGGTGTGGAAATGATTTTACTGTCCTGACAGTGACCAAGAACCCCCCACAGACAACATCCAGAGCGAACGACGCTGTGGGTTTTGTTTTCAACGTGTAAGTTTGCAGTGTGCGGAGCAGAGGGGTGGGTACTGGGGTGCTTGGTGTGGTGCCTCTGGAGACAAGCTCCTACACCACTCACCTGTGTTTGGGCATTTCAAATTTTGCACTCTATCGCTGAAAACTTACACTTGTGATACAACCTTCTAAGGTCCAAAGCCACCTTCTGGGGTCCCAGCTGAGGACCTTGTTTCTTTAAGAGTCATTACTGGTACACCTGATAAACCAGAAATGCCTGCATTTGCAGTGTTATTTAAAGCAAGAATGTTGAATTAGCTTTACCCACAAGTTAGTATCAGCGTACCCACAGCAAACACCCTCTCAAAAATGTTGCAAATTACAAGTATGAATGCAATGATGCACTCTGGTAGCTCTATAAAATTTAATCACTTAATTAAAAAAAGGTACAAACCCGTCCAAACCAAGCAACTTTCTTTCCCCTGAAAATTGTAGCCCATGCTCAGAAAATCTAATTTTGCCTCTTGTCACAGGCTCCATCTCCCTCAGTGGCAAAGAACACCGTGGCATTCATAAGGACGAGGAGAAACACTCACCTAAACATATTGCTGGAAGCCCATAGCTGTTAATGAGCCATCCCTACAAATCCTATTTAAAGCCTGCCCCGAAGATCATCAAGGACCCGGCTTGTAGCCACTCCCTGGCATTTTTGGATTGTGTCTTGAGTGAGGCAGCATCACCCACTGGCCACCATTAATTCATCTAAAGCCTCGTGGCTGGCTCTGGGTCCTCAGTAGTGCCTGGGCAGCAGCAAGAGGGAGGCTGAGCAGGGAGGCTGAGCTGGAATTTAACGTGGGTGAATGTGGGCACTGGTAGGCAAGGGGACTTTCAACAGCTTGAAGTTGTTTATAAGCAGTCTGTAGTACTGCCTTTGCAGTGAAGTGGCTACTGGAGTCATTTGTATTGTTAAATAAACTGCAGAAAAGGTGTACGTTTGTTTGTATCACATTTTTCCCTGGACCTAATACTGGTTCCCTTGAGTTCTGCGGTAGTTGAACTGGATGAAAAGTGGAAGTAAAATAGATATTGTTATTTTCATGGAAAAATGCTTTACTGGCTTTTTTTTGTATCTAACTTTTCCTGATGTGGTGCAAAGAGCTAGAATACAATGAAGTAAAACATTGAAAAGGCTTTTGACTTTTTATAGCCATATATACATATTTATATATGTATATAAACAGTGAAAACACTGAAAAAGTACCTTTTTTTAATGGTTCAGGCTTCATAAACCAAACCATACATTGTTTAAACTATTTCTTAAAGTGGCACCCAAGACTATTCTCTTTAGTGTTTTCACTTTAACATAAGAAGCTGCATGAGAGAAGACTCACTTGCCACCCTGGCAACTCAAGAACTTCATTCACATATAGAGGACTCCCAGGTACTAAAAGTCTGTGCCTGCTTCAATGGAAGCACCAGTCTGAGTGGTCAGTCTGAGGTGCAGCATGAATTGCACATGTCTAAGTGAAGCATATCTGTTGTCTGACTTCTTCAGAAGCCATTATGGGGTTTTTTTTTCAGTCCACAGACTTTTACGACTCCCTAGTTGTGAGTTTTTTGAAGTGTAAGTGCAACAGGGAGCTTTGAGCACAAGGTGTCACAAAATTACAAATCTAGAACCTACTCTAAGAAAAAGATGGTAGCAGAAAAAGAATATACATCTATACAGTGTGCACACATGTATACACATATACTCCTGTTTCATGAAAAAGGTTTTCTAAATAAAATCATACAAAAAAAAATATAACCAGTGCCATATATTATGTAAACTCACAAGGCATACTTTCAACACAAATCTGAAGCATAAATTAAAAGAGAGCGGGAAAGAGAGACAGGGATGATAGCAAAACATTTTAAATATAGAATTTGCACAAATGGTATTTTGTTAAATAAGAATAAATAAATTCATTACATCCATTCACATACCAGTTGTAAAAACAATAAATTACTTTATTTTTTTCAGTGCTGTGTTGCCTTTTTTTTTTTTAAACAGTTGTTATTAGTCCACAAGACTATTCCCTCTCCCCCTTGTGATAAAACTGTTTCCACAGGAGGGCAGCTAAATTTAATTTCTTGTATACAGTCAAACCAAAGTTGACAGGCTTTTTTCTAATGAGAATCTCTTACTTGAAAAGAAGATGCTGTAAAACCCACCGATGCTTAGAGGTCCAAATTCACCTAAGGGCACTGGAAGTGTGTCCCAAAGTCAGTGTGAATTTAACTGAGGATTGTTCCTTAATATGCCAAGAGCAAAACTCTGGGTTTCTATCCCCTAGGTGCATTTTATGACTCCAGCTTGGCAACACTGGGTAGTGATGTAAACAGTGATGTAACGGAGTGAGTGACAGTGGAGAACAGACGTGGACATGACAAAGTCAGATACCTTGCACCAATTCTTCACTCACCAGTTACATGAGATAGCCATGACTGGCAGAAGGAAGGTTTGGAACTGGAATCCGACTACCAAGAACACCTAAAAAAGCAAGAGTTAACTACGGCAGGCTGTGTTAACTACAGCAGGCTGACCTAGCAGTTCTTACACTTTTGGGGCCCTGCCTTGGTCTGTCCCCTTTGCCCTCTCACCATAGAAGGGCAACTGCTCTTTGCTCATGATAATGTGCTTCACTGCTACACTGGTGAAAAGGGTAAAGTCACTATAGTGGTTTGTTCTCATACTTCTTTATATTTATATAAATAAACTCTTTCAGTGGAAAAGATACTCTTGATCTAAGGAAGCTTTAAATTTATACCCGTGTATGGTATTACTCTTCTGGAGCCTAAACAGCATCCAAAAGCTTTACTCATCCTTTTTAATATATAATAAATTATTACCATCATGAAAAGACAAATACTTGTACATTCTGTCTCTATTAGGAAAAAAACACAGGAAAACCAAATACCACTTAATGCAGCAGCTGTATGCTGAGACAAATGTTAAGTCTGTTCTGAGACACATTTAATCTCCTGATTTTTCCTCTCATGATGGTTTCTGTTTGTTAAGGACTTTTTCGAGAGGTTCTAGAACATGGGTAATATATAGATAAGTATAAAAATTTGATTACCTGAAAGGAAAATAAGGCATTCCAAAGTGATGTTATTTTAACAGGCAGAGAAGGCTCTCTGCAAATATTCAGAGCCTCTCAGTTCTTGGGGTGGGATCAAGATTAAATGGGGGGTTTTCCTCAAGATCCACAGTTTTGCATAGGGACTACTCCTGAACAGAAGGCCACACCGGTTTTGAAAGCTGAAGATGATTAGTAACATTTGTTGGTGATCTGTTTAACAGAGGAGGAGGCTCTGCCCCTGTTACTGTTTATTTAGAACAAGGTACAAAAATAGATACTTCTCCAGGTTTCACAGTTGTGGATGTAGCAACTCTATGCTGTTTTGAAATCATCACATGATTTCTAAGAGTTCATACAAACATACCACAGTTGCAAAAACATGTTTGTGTCAGCCTGGAGTCAGACTTGCCCTTCTTGCTACACACTCCGACAAGTCTTCCCTCCTGATTTCATGCCTGGGATTTTCAGAAGAGCCTGAGGTGCTCCAGTACCACTGACTTACAGCTGTGAGGCTTGTCTGAAAAATCCTGCAATCCTGTTCTCTCCTGTGTGGACGAACAAAGGCATAAAAGACAGATGGGATTCCACTTCCATCCGTTTTTTAACCATTTTTTTCACTACCTGTTATGTCAAGGCTTAATTCAAAGCCTGCTGATGTAAGAGGAAGCAATTTTAACAGGATTGCTATCAGGCCTCCACCTGCATAAGGTGAAATGTCCATCCTCAGCAACAGAACTTCTACCAAACAATAATGGGATTCAGGAATTGCTGCCAATAAAAACTATTACCAGCTACTGCCTGTACTGTGGAAACAGTCTTATTGATATTGGACAAGTCCTCCACATCCTGATGTGGTTTGACTTCCTAGTGACCCCTCTTCCTCCCTAATGTGGTAGATATACAAAATATGAATGCCTTCTATAGATTTAAAAAACCCCAAAACACACACAAAACAATCAAAAAAGACAAATAGTTATAAATGTTTGCTGGTAAGATGAATACCAGAGTTAGACATGATGGACAAAACAGTGATAAAATATTAACTGCTTGCTGTGTTTTTTTTGACCTTTTTAGCCTCTTGAAAAGATGTAGGTACATTACACATTGTTAAATTCAAGGTGGAAGCCATAGAGAAAATAACAGAGAAAGCAGCTGAACACAGCCTCAGAACATCTGAGTTAGAAGACACTTGATTATCTTACCTGTAATTTTTGGTTCTCTAACTAGCTTCTACAAAATACAGTATGCCTTTGTTTCATGGAAAGAAGCAGCTAGCAGCTATTGTTAACCGACAACAAGGACCCCAAGCTGTGGCACAGCCGGAATTAGGGAAAGGTTTACAAGCACAGTGTACACAAATTCCTCCAAGCAGCCAAATCCTCCTTCTGTGCATGCCTGACACACACATGGTGAGGAGCTGCTGATGGTCCTGGTATTTGAGCAACGTACACGTGGGGTTTCCTGGTCTGCAAAGCTGCCACAACGCTCCTTCTGAGAACTTCTTGGTGGAAACACAGTATTTGTCTTAGAATAATGATATACTGTCAGGAAATTCCTAGCATGAAAACGTATTTCCTTTTGTCAAAACCAAAAGGTACTACTTTTTAAAACCAGCAGCAAGCTCTTCATTTTCCAGTAAAACATCTGTGGCCCTTTTTGAAGAATGGACCAAGTCCACAAGGGCTACAGATATACTTTGGTCAATCACTTTGCTTATGTAGTTTGTCTTTTGATTTTTTAATAGAACCATGTCATATAAAGTGACATACTGAATGAAAGATATTTACAAAACAGTATAAAATAAGCTACTGTGGGATCATGGGTACATGTGACATTTTCTAAGGACATACTGTATTAGAGGTAGGTGAAAAGGGGGAGATGATTCTGTAACCTTTAAATATCCCAGGCTCCTCCATTCACTAGTTCTTCTTCTTTTGCATTATTTTATTTTACATTTTTGCAGACACAGAGGGCTTGTAACAACTTTAATGCTGACTTTTTTGACATATTAAGATCACCCTACTATTACTTAAAGCAGTGCACATCTTCATTTGGTCCAAATAGGCAGATTCTGCCCATAATTTGAGACTGTATGTAAGCACATTGAAGCTTTTGCTTCTCTCTGTCTGGGCAGACCTAATACCAGTATGTCAACAATGGCTTAATCAAACCTCTTTTAAAGAAGATCACAACCACAGGTTAACACTTTTTCAACAAGCACTGTTTAAATGCTGACGGTCTCTGAGAGAGAAGACACCCCTTAGCCAGTTTTCCATGCCCGTCTTTGCACTGGACAGTCCTGGTGTGCCATCCCGTGTCGCACGTTCGAGAACAGGAGAGCCACGGCCCCGTAACCCAGCGGGGTTGCGTGAGCTGCGGAGTCACTTTGCTGGTGACAGAGTTAGTCATTTGCCCGGGCTTCTTTGGCACGAAGAAACTGTAGCGGACATCCACGGGCTGCGTTGGGTCGGTCGCAAGTATCTGCACAATAAGAATCTCCTTTGTGGCGGAGTGTCCCATCGCGTGCAAAAAATCGTCCTTGTGGCTCCACCCGCTGTAGTTCATGACAGTCCCGTTGATGTCGATGATTGTTTCTGAAGTAGAGATCATGTATTTCCCATTGACAAGGTACTCACCGTTTTTCTTCTTCAGGGCCAGGTAGGCAGTGAACCTGCTCTGGTCCTTAGTCTTGAACTGCCGAACTTTGATGTGGGTTGCCCCTTCGGGGATCCTCACTACATCTGTGTAGCCCTTGCTGAACGGAGAGAAAGAAGAGCATTCAGTAGCTAGCACAAAATAAGCCTCAAGTCTTACTGCAATGCCTCACAAAGTCTCTGGTATGGCATGTCTTGCTTCATTTCAGTTCAGAACCTGAATCCAGCTGGATTGAGGCTCGTCTTAGATTAATATGACCAGCTTCCAGTATTGGTCTACTGTGTTGTTCTTTATGTTCTTGAAGAAGTTTCTATTGCACTTCTTTCAGACTGCCTAATCTTTAGCTTTACTAACAATTTTATGTAAGTCAGATACAAGAGGAATGAAAAATAACAGATAGCTTATATATTTCACCAAAGGGTGGGAGATACGAAATATGATGCACGCGTTGCCTGCCAAGGAAAAGATAATGAGATATGCATTGGTTACAGCTGTTTCTTGCTGTCTTTACTAAAATGATGATTAAGGAAAGCATGAGCAGAGAAACAGCTGGGTAGAGGTACCTTGGGAACATTTAAAAATAATCTTGATCACTGAGAAAAAATTTGTTTACTCTGAAATTCATAAACCCAATGATTAATTGTCAAGTGTCTAATAAGAGTGGCACCCAAATGTTTAATTTGTATCATCACAGAGTTCTCAATGTTGCTACTTATGGAATATCTTACATCAGACTTAGAAAAAGGTAATAAATTCTTTTACTGAAAGTGACAAGCATTCAAAATGTGCAAGTGTGCTGGAATTTGTCACTATCTCAAGTATGTTATTTTAACTTTACTGATACATAGAAAAAAAATGTAAAGACTATACATAGCTATAAGCTACCAGCTGGACTTTGGAGACACATATTTTCATTTCTAAATCCGTGACAAAACCATCCTGCAAGTATCCTATATCCTAAAGGTTTAATGAGAAAATACATTAAAAATATATAAAAGTGAAGGGGTGTCCTTTGGGATTGTTCAAAGAACAGACTGCTAATTTTGAGAATTTCTGGCTGCACAAGTAGTGACTGCACATACTACACACATGAAATGCTTGTGCCATTTCCCTGCTATTTCCAGCAGTTACGGGACAATGACTAAAACTCTACTGATTTAGCACCTCCATAGACCTGAAGGAATATGGTGCGAAACCCAGGCTGTGGACTCTGCACAAATATTTTTACGTAACAGTTGCCAGAAGAGGCCTGTTAAAACATGTCATTAAGGTTACAAAATCATTTGTTCAAAAACTAAAAGCAATACTGGAGGATCCAAGTCATCTGCATAAAGAACTGCAACACTCCATATGTACAAAGAACTACGTGCAGGGTTAACTCTCCTCTTTCCAAACTTCTGATAACTTGGCTTTAGAGCTTTTTAAAAAAAAGTTCTTAGGAAGCAAGTTTCCCAGAAGATTATGTTTTGCCTGCTTTGTAAGAAAAAAAAGTACAAACAAATGTTGTTATAGCATTTAAGTTGTGCATTTAAGTTTCCCTGTCCACTTAATGTACAGATTGCTACAGTTAGATTTATAATGGATAGCAGCACCTGAGCTGCCACTTTTCAGTGGAGGAAAGACAATTCTACTACAGCCACTGCCTTTTCAGACACAACTGTAAAAACTGTTTGCATACAATTAAGATTTCACTATTTTAATGAGGGGTTTATTTTGAAGTCAATTACTCGCATAAAAGAACTGTCTCAAACAACATTTCCAGTAAAAATAAATCGTCAGTCCAAAATTCAACCAAAATCCAGTTGGAACATACTTGTGACTGGTTACTATGACTTTCCAAATGGGGCATCTGGCCTCACTGAAATTCATGGAGTCCCTTTAACACTTTTGCTGGAGGTTGGATCCCAGCATAAGGATTATTACTGAATCATATGAAGAATATCTCCCACTGTCTTCATTTAGACATCCCAGGCATTTCAATATTTACAAACTGGAAAAGATTTGGTTTATATAGTTGCTAATTTGGATGGAAAGCCATTCCTTTTGGCAGAGGTGTTTTGGCACCGTTAGGTGAGCAATCATTGGTTTAGCAGGAAGAAGATTAGTTATGTTTATTTTTAGAATAAATTCACTCTCAAAGCCATTTTTGACTGCTATTAATCTGTGTATTGAAGTGCATAGAAATGAAAGGTCATCTCAGGAGTTGTATTTCAACTTTTGGTAGCTTTCAATATGCTATGTAAGAATTTGGAAGATATAAAACAAAATCAAGTTTCTATATAAAGATGTTATACTAATGCAGTCAGTGATTCTGAGTGGAAGCTGTCAACTAAAAGTTCCTGCGTTTAGATCTCTACAGCAATCCTCTTAGACCCTGGAAGCTATATGAATGATAAATAAAAATCCTCATTTTTCTATTGAATCTTAAGAATTGGAGGAAAATGAGTTCAGACAGACAGGAGACTTACTTGACACTGTTATCTCAAATACAAAGCCTACTGCCCCTTCAGTGTGGTGAGGGAAAACCACGAGGGCGGTTCCTTTTATTTTACTTAAAGCATTAAGTTTTGCTACAGTTAAAAGGTGAACTCTGACAGAAAAAAAGGATAACTGCTATAAATATTTTGACGTAAAACAATCCATCTGGAGATTGATATTATGCCAATGGACATGAAGGGATATAGTCACACTTAAGCCAATGTTTACTTCTGGTATCTCATCTAATTATCTAAACTCCACACATACTCAGCAGTTGAAAAGGTGATTTCAGGGTATAATCCCTTTCAGCCATTAAGGAAGATATTTATAGCTGTCTGCTTCTCTCCATTACTTATACATGGAATGTGTGTCACAAAATCACGTGGAATGCCCTCACTGTCATTCAACATAGAGGAGATGAAAAAACATTCTCAGGGCATAACTTGCTAATGCAACAACAGCTGGGAAATGCAAAATTTCAGAGATACAGAGATAATTCTCATCCCAAAAACTTTCTGATTCATTCTTCCCTTCCGTTTTCTCTCTCCTCTAGGAACCACAGTCCATCTGACACAGCAAGATTAGCAAGTTGCTATGCCTTATTCTAGGCAGCCTTCCCATTAATGGGGTGCTCACCTGCATCACTGGAACTTTGTATCAGAAATGAACTCAGTACAGTGTTTTGCCAGCTGATGATTTGCCAGTTTCAGGGTAATGCTTAGAGCCAGCTGTACACATCTGGAAAGTGCAATATAAGTACAGGCAATGTACTTTTCCCCCCTCATCTTCATATGAAAGCAAATTGCATTGAGAGACATACGGAAAGCAGCATATTAGCAGAGTTATTATTTGCACAAGACACATTTACCAGTACTTGAGATCAGTACCTCTTTTTGGTAAAGGAGCCCATGACTTTTGTGCAGCTGGAGTTGTCTCCTCCACACACCCCACATTTGTCATACTGGAGCTTTGATCCGATGATGCCGTCGCAACCAGTCCGGATGCACTTCCCTCGGACACAGACGGAGTTACTGTACGGTCGACATTCAGTGCCATCAGTTACCTGGGCAATCAAACGAGCCTCAGTTAAAACTGCCACAGAAAAGACTGACTTTTTTTGGATCTGGCAGAACAGAGTTACTTATGTAGGTCACCTACTCTGAACAGAGAGCCTGACAGACCAGACTGAGTTTCTCTAGCGTCCCCAGCACAAAAGCAGTTCAGTAAACTGCTGAAAGCAGTGACAGGTAACTTCCAGTTTGAGTTCCATCTGACAGAACAAACTGACCACAACTCACATCTACAATACTTGGCTGTTGGCTCTGTAAGATTTACTCTGGACTCCCTAAGCCTAATTCAGGGTTAAAATTACCCTTATCCTCATAGTACTCTTTCTCCTCCAGAAAATTCCAGAATAATGGAAAACTCCAGGCAGAAACCCCTTTAGCCATTTCTGAGAACGTACCAGTGCAGAGAGCACTTAGAGGCTCATATTTTTCATGAATTCACATATTGAGATGTGGAAAAACTCACCTCATTTTAGAGGCCTAATGTACAACCAATGGATCAAACCATTAAATCTAATCACACAGTGAAATCTCTGAATCATAGGATTAACTTCTTTTTCCTGGTTGAAGGGAAAGATTTCTCTACAGAGGACACTTCTACACTGGAGCATGAAATCATGACTGGCGTTGCCCTTACCTTCTGAGAAAACACCACATAATAGCCAGTTCCTTTGGCTCGGCAGGTGAGCTTGCAGACATCTCCGGGAAGTACTCCAGCATACTTGGGGACCCATTCAACAAATGTCTTGACACCCTTTGCGTCAGACTGGTAGCCATTCCTTGCTTCACACTGCTCTTGCCGAAAAGACTTAGCTGCAGAATTATTCACATCATTAGCGGCTGTTTCAGACCACTCTGCAAATATCATTATGTCCATCTATTACTTCAATTTCTTTTTTACATAATTTTTAAGTTACATCATGTCACTTCTTTACTTAGAACTGGCCCTCCAATCCTTCAACTGTTTTAGCTTGGAAATCCCATGGCATAATAAGCATTAAAGGTCTAATATGTGCATTGCACTGCATTTTCCGGGACTGAAAATCTTTTTTCATTCACGTGACCTTTCTCTGTGGAGTCTGGGAGGGAGAATGTGGGTGAATAATTACGATACTGTATTCATGATTAGTGTCTCGCTTTGGTAAATACATTTTGGGGAAACTACAGCGGACCTTTGTTGTGTCCTTCTAAAGCAGATATTCAGTATTTACTGCCTATAAACAGACAGGTTGGAGCACAAGGGCACTCACCGTTGGCCGGGCAGGGAGCGACGTTGCAGGAGCGGTAGATGGCCCTCTTGCCCGTGCAGTACCGCCCGTTGTTTCTGGGAGCTGGGTTATTGCAGTGGCGATAAGCAAACTGAACTCCCCCACCACACGTGCGGGAGCACTGTCCCCAGGGCCCCCAGGAGCCCCAGTTGCCATGGCTGGAAGCCTGGAACAGAGGAAACAGTAGGAGGTAAGTTCATCATCCAAGTGCGAATAAAGCTGCGACAACTCAAAGTCACTGCTAATATTTTCCTCATTCAAGGCAATTCTTTGGTCATTTTAATCGGGGGTAACAGGTCTCAGGAGACTTCTTTCTCCCAGCAAGGTTAATTTCTGTCTTTTATCTGCACATTCACAACATCTCATTTGGCAAAGGCAGTACTAGGCCTTGCTCCACACAGCTACCTTCTCATTGTTCCATGGAAGACACCAATGCACCACAAAGATCACCCGAAGTCTCACGTGCTGCTCTCTGATCTTTTGCTTTTCCTACCAAAAGGGCCCTTTAAACTGGTTTCAAGGCTTCTGGTTCCCAGAATATGTTCATAAAGCTAATCTATGATCAAATTAATCCAATTATTGTGATGTGTAGGTACTGCTTTGAATTACTGGCAAGAGTTGGAGTTGTCAACTCTGCTAAGCTGGCTACCTAGAAACAGTACTGCAATAGCACATAGAAGTCTATACATCTGTAAAAAAGGGTGTTATAAGGGCTGTAGCTTGATTTGAATGGATCTCATAGTTTCCAAATATTTTCACAAAGAAGTCCACACCTCTTCTGTGGGGCCACTATCTGCCCAGTAAATTTAGAAGTATCTGAACTGACAGTTCTCGTGAGCCTTCAGATGCATAGTGGACAGAGGAGACTCTGTCACTGGAGGTATAAACCTTTCTGCTGCAGAAAGTATATTTTGTATTAACTTCATCAACCTTTCCCTTCACTGAAATTAGGGAATTTCAGATGAGGGATGTAAATTAAATTTACGGATTTAATTTGTCTTGCATTCCATGGTCAAGAAGTCAGAGAGCTATGTCCTGGTACTGATTTAATGAATGGGCACATCATCTACTCTGAAAGGATGCTCCCAGTTTTCCAGGAATGAAGGCTTTCACACTTGAAGAAGAAAACATGCTTCCTGAACCTCAGCAGCATTTCTCCTATATCCCTCGCCAATAACAATCCAAGTATGCACTAAAAAAATAAGGTAGCTTTCAATCTGACTTCCATGAAGTCCCTTGCACTCCCACAAAAATCAGCAATTTGAGGATCACGCCTTTTAAAATCCCCCAGGGTCGAAGCCGGTAACTTACTGAGTAGTACTTCTTCTTGGTTTTGTCAACACATTTTCCTTGGAGGCAGATCCTTCCTTTTCCACACGGTGTTCCCTCGACAGCAGGGAGCTTCTTAGTCAGACAGACCATCTGGCCTTGGCGCACAACGGCACACCAGAGGCGAGAGCACACGTCCATCCCAGGGCACACGGTGTACTCGGGCCCGAAGGCCAGCTTGCACTGACGAATGGCATCGTATGTTTGTCCCGGGAGCTCCTCGGGGCCCACAATGTGCTTCCTCGGTTGGTCCAGCAAACAGTTACCTAAAAGAGCCATCCAGCCTGTTGTTATTACTCGTTTCCTAGTTTTCTCTGTAGAGCTGCAAATCCGACAGGTAAGGCAGAACAATGACGACAGCAAAGCCCGCTCAGAGGAGGTTGACTGAAATAGGGAGGCTCTCTGAGATGACAACAGGTTTTGCACAAGGTCACACTTCTGCCACTGTGTTCTCACCCAGCAGCACACCAGGTGTCCAGCTGCCTATTTCCCATCTGAGGGTGTAAGTGAGTTTTACTTGGGTCCCTTTGGCCTTTCATCCTTTATGCGATGACTCTGGACACATTCCACACTATCACTTTGTGACTTAAGGAGTGAGCAAAGTAAGCGAAGTTGCCATTTGAGTTCTGAGACAGAATGTCAGAAATGGTAAAAAAGCTTCTAGAGCGATGACAGAAAAATCAAAAAACACAGACTTGTAGCCAGTGAGGCACTTAAAAAAAAAAAAAAAAGGAAAAAAAATCAAAACAAAAGGAAAAGAAAAAACCCTAACAGACCAGAAGAAAAAAATATAAGCTGCATATCAAAACTAATGCTGGGGGTAAACCTGGTCCAGACTCTCCTTCTAAAGAATGATACTCATTTGCTTATGGAATTAGTTTGAAGAGGGTTATTCATTTAATACAAAATACATAAATACCAGGAAGGAAAAATTGCATAAATGTATAGAATTGTATATATTCTTTAAGATCTACTGCAGTGGTCAAGATTTGTCTGGCACACTCTAAACATGAAAATTCCCATTTATGTTGTAGGCATCTACTGATAGCTATTTTTTTACTACTGGAAACCTCACTTGTTGACATGCAGAACTATTTATTCAGTGTAACCTCTTTTACACTTCATGAAAGGGATATGTGGTCTGGGCAAGCTTCACTTATCCTTGGCCAAAATAACTTACCACAATTTACCTCACTTTGGAATCTAGACCAGTGTTCTTCAGCTGGATCATGAGTGAAAAAAGCCTATCTATAAAACCCTCACTATTTACACAAAATGGAATAGAATTTCATTTCAAATGGCAGTGAATTTAAACAAACCAAATACCTAATTTCTCAAAATACCTAATTTCTCAATAACTTGGGTTTTCCTTCCAGAACTCATACTTACTGCAACTGTTATTTTGTTCCTCTAAAGACCAAGGCCTATTAGCCAAATTGGCCAAAAATTCTTTCTGCATTACCACTTACTACTGAAAACCCTCTGTTTTGCTAAACCTGTTCCACTTGTTGACCCTAATTTACCCCAGCCTTATCTGGACTATGCTGACTTTTTCAATGCAGACAAGGTGTGCCAATGCTAACTCTCATGAGATAAAGATACTTAAAAGTATCCTGGCATTCAAAGGTTGTTGTAGTGTAAAATATTAGAGACATGATGAGGAGTGATGAAGCACCTATCTTTTTTCTGCAGTTTCTGAAAAGCACATAACTGGCAGAAATACACTTTGTAAAGTAAGTTAACAGTGGAAATCCTACTTCATTTACCTTGTGATGAGGAAGGAAGCTAATACATTGTTAGGGCAGTGATGGGAAGTCAGCAGCATATCAACATTCAGTATTATACACTGCTATTGTACCTATAATGACGTTTATCAAACTCACAGGTAGAACTGTTGTTCAGTATTTTAAAACATCATCATAATACTTCATTTCACCATGACAGACACCTCTGCCCCTCACTGAGATCTACCTTGACTGAAACGCCTGAAAACACCAATTTAGAGAAAAAGGAAAGTCTCATTCTTGCATATACTTATCTGTCAATCATTTTAGTTAAAACCCATTCAAATACCTTTCACACTGAATAACAAACAGGTTTCACAAGCTTACATTGCAAATATAGCATTTTTCCCCTCCAGAACACATTAATTCAAAACTGAAGATAGTGAACACCCCTAAGGATTCCCCACAGGAAAAAAAAAAAAATTATATTGGTAGAGAGTAGCAGTGCCTATGTTTAGACAGGTTGCAATGAAATGCAGGTGTTTTTACCATGAGCTGGCACAACCTCCTACTTGCAATAGTAAAACAAGATTTGAGAAGCTGGAGAAAAGTTTGCCCTGGGCCCCCTGGTTGAGAGGGCAGAGAGGGCTTCCATTCACTGTTACACTTCAATATACAGAACATGTATATTCTGCAATTCCCATTTTTTGTCCCGAGTACCAAAGAACATCTTTGTGCCCTGGAATAGAGCAACATTGTTTGCTGATGACAGTGCTAATTAAGCCTTCTCATTATCTCTCTCAATGTTTTGTGTAATCTATCTTGGGGAAAAAAAAAGGTGGAACGAGATCTGTGCAGGAAGCAGATAAGCAGGATATAAATTAATTAAAATACAAACAGTTCTTGTTTCAGGTTGCACCGAGCACTGTGGCTGAACACAATAAATCCCAGGCAATCATACCACAGCCTCGTGGTTGGCATGACAATAATGGCAATTAGTACCTTTGGAAAGGCTTTACTAAAAGCAGATGGAAATAAATGTCACTCTCTTCTGGACACTAACTGAGCCTTTTCTTCCTAAATGTCAAACTGCTGTCTGGGGTCATCTCATGAGTGTAAAACAAATGGTGATATCATGACAACACTGTTTATTGTTCTCAGAGCAGGCCTCTGGACACAGGGAAGCAGGACCTTGATCCTCCCCAGACCTCCTGGTTGACCTTGGACAAGACATTTATATTGGGATTTATTCAGCTGACTTTAGCTGTATGTAATGCTGGTGTCTGCAGTGCAGTCAGCTGTCAGGTGTTTCACTACTGAGGCAAACAAGTTTATGGTGTAATTAAGCACCACTAAGGCAACGGATGAGCCGCAGTGCTGCTGATGCCATTGATTAGACCTCTCTGCACAACGATGGGAACTTGAATACCCAGTTTAGGAGTGCCTACCTACATAGTAAGTACCCCCATTTTATAAGAATAATCTAGTCCCCAACATCACCTTCCAAATGTAGAAATTAGCAATATGAGTATTTGACAAAGCTGTGTCAAGGAATTAGAGTAAAGACTGTAAAGTTTTCTATTACAGCACTACAGGGTGAATATCTAAATCTACATGGGAGGCTTACTTAAACCTTTGGTAAGACACTGACTGCTCATTTGTAATACAGTACTGCTAACAGATCCAAACTTCTGGACTTCATATTTAATTTTGCTTACCCATAAGAAGGAGCAGTTGAACTATTTTATTTCCTTACACCAATGCTGCCATGCCCTGTTTGTCATCCCAAAGCACAATTCATATGCTCATTGTGCCTGCTGCACTTCTTGAAATTACACCCAAATGAATAAGGATTGTTTCCTCTCCCTAGAAGCACTTTAAAGGATGGGATTTTCTTCTTTCTGAGGCAAGATTAGAGGAGGGCTCCTTCTTGAAAACAAAACTGAAGGGAAAAAACTGAAACTATATAACAGTACATCTGCCTCACTTAAGGAAAACCCAAAAAGTAGACACATACTTAACCTGAAGGAAGCACAGAACTGTGGCATGTTTGCACTATTCCTTTATCAGCCCAAAGCTGATAGGCAGCATTGCTCTACTAGGACCCTGTGGTTTCTGATACACTCAATGTGCATTACAAATGGGAATTATGGAGCTACAGATTAATTCACTGTCTGAAATAAGAAAATAAGACTAGAATATCCCTTCCAAAAATAATGCATGTCCTTTCAGCACAGGAATTCGAAGAATGTGCAGTTTAAACCATTGACCATTTTTACCTCATGGATAGTGTTTTCATTCCTTTAAGACTGATCTTTGATTTAAAATAAATAACTGTGAAATTATAAATTTCAACAGAAAAGAAGACTGTTACTCAGCAAAGGTCTCTGAAGGACTGATCTATCAAGAAAAGAGATTC